ATTGCAGATTTTCAAATACAGCCCAATTAAAGTGAACTGCCTTGTGGGACTGCCAAATGATTAGAACGGGATCAAGCATCCCAAATGATTAGAGGTAAGCCCTCGCTAAGCTAGTTTTAACTTAAATTTTAGAAAACTAGAAAGTAGACTATACATACTTCTTTCCTGTTCTAATTCCACCTTTCCATATACACATCTGTCTTTGGCCCTCTTTATCCAAGTCCTAGATGACTACCCTTTTACCTTCCTCAAGTTACTTTTTCTCCTCTTTTTCATTTCACGCACTATCTCAGTAGGTCATTATCTTGAGTTCCACGTTGTCTTGCATTCCTTCTATGTGTGCACCTGTGGAAAGGCCTGCAAATTGTCCATCAATCCAGCTCGACCCTTCCTCCTTGAATAACAGAACTCCTGCCTTTCCCCTGCGAGCATGCTGCCCAGCTGAAGATGGGTTTCCCAGCCTCCCTCGGCTGTGTGGCCACATGACTAAGGTCTGCCACTCCCTGATTGTGCCTTAAGAGAAATAGCGTGTGAGCCCCCATGCTTCTATCCAAATTTCTACTGACCGAGAAGCAGTTTTGATAAAGAGTCTAAGATTTTTATTCTTGTTTAAGAACTGCTTAAACAAGAGTGGGTCTCTTTGTAATAGCAGCTCAGAATAAATCCTGACTAATAGAGTACCTCTTAAATTTTCTTTGCCCATCAGAACTGGTAACTTTGCCTAGTCAATCAAAGTTCTCGTGCAATCACTGTGTTGTCCGTATGTAAAGAAAACAATAAGAAAAAATAAAAGCTATCACTTTTTAACTGGGGACAGGGACTCTGAAAAGAAAACCCAACTCTTGCCTCCCTACGTTAGTGCTTGCTAACTTTATCCTTGATAGAATCAAAATATTTTCTAAAAATCCAGCAGTTGATAGTCTTTAAGAAAGTGAAAACCCTCTAGAGATGAGTATTAAATAAAGTATTGCAGCATATATATGTGATATATATACACATACATATGTATTTTATATATATATACACATTATGTACACATATATAAATTCAAGTGTCAATTTGTGTGAAATGAGATGAGCCCATCATTCTTCTAACTCTGTTGGCTGTTTAATTCATGAAAGGAGAAGTTTGCCTGCTCTCCATACCACATAGTATTTTCTAATCACCTAATCATTTGCTTGGGCCTAAACTCAGCTGTTTTTAGGCTGCAGGCTTTCTTGTCTCCCAGGGCCAGCTGCTCCTACCTCCAGAACTTTCCTTTTGTTTAAAATTGATTTTGGAAAGAGAGGAAGGGAGAGGAGGAGGGTGGGAGAGAGAGAGACAGAGGTGAGAGAGAAACATCAATGTAAGAGAGAAACATCGATCGGTTGCCTTCCAAACGTGCCCCGACCAGGGATCAAACCTGCAACTTGGGTATGGGCCCTGACCAGAATCAAAACCAACACCTTTCAGGCGTATGGGATGGAGCTCCAACCAATTGAGCCTCACTGGCCAGCGTACCAGCACTTTCTTTTGATCTCAGGCTTTTTTATTTCAGTGGTCATTATGGAGACACTGCTACCCTCCTAGCCCCTGTATGCTAGGATTAGAATAATAACAGAATCGCATTTTGGAACACTCAGAGAACCTGGTTCAAGTTCCTGCTATAGAGTTGTTTCCAGCCAGTGGAATATCTGTTGAGCTTTCCGGCCCCTATAGGCTAGGGCCTGTCTAACCAGTGGGAAATCTCTTCTCAAGATAAACACAATCTCAGATTCAAACCAGGATTCTCAGGAGAGGCTGCTGAGCACTAACATGTTGCCTTACTTAAGTTAAGCTGTCCCTGGTCTGGTTCCTGGAGAGAGAATAACAGCCAGGACTGTGTGGAGACCATCCCTTTGCTTTCTCCAAAGCTGCTTTATCAGGAACAAGCCCCAGGGTGCTATTACTTAATCAATAGCAGAGATGCAGAGTGAGGAGAGAAAGAGAGTTCACAATAAACTGATTGCTTCATCTGGCTTCCTATGAGCAGTTTCGAGACTAGTGGAAGTCCTCTAATCTTATCAAGCAACCAGACAGATTGATTTTGGGTTCATTAATAGCTGCTGGGGGTGGAGGACAGACAAAAGGGAAAAATGAATGCATCGTTGGGATCTACACCCGTAAGAGAGGTCAAGAAGCTCTTTCAAAGCCGTGCAGGGTCCTGTAAGACCACTGGGCTGGAAGCTGGTCCCTGGCCTAGTGTCAGGGTCAACATCCAAGGCCCAGGAGGAGACCAAAGGACCTCCCAACAGAAAAACATGTGCTTTTACATTTGTCTGCAAGCACTCAAAACTCCAAATGAATTCCTAGCCAGTTTGGCTCAGTGGATAGAGCATCGGCCTGAGGACTGAAGGGTCCCAGTTTAATTCCAGCCAAGGGCACATGCCCGAGTTGTGGGCTCGATCCCCAGTAGGGGGCGTGCAGGAGGCAGCAGATCAATAATTCTCTCATCATTGATGTTTCTATCTCTTTCTCCCTCCCTCTCCCTTCCTCTCTGAAATCAATAAAAAAAAAAATATTTAAAAAAAACCACCAAATGAAAAGGAAAAATCCAAGTTCCTTATCCAGAGTCTTCCTCTCTAAAATCAATTAAAAAATATATATATTAAAAAAAAAACTCCAAATGAAAAGGAAAAATCCAAGTTCCTTATCCAGAGATTTTGTTCACATCATATCAAATAACTTTCCATTCAAATATTTGGCACCATATAGACATATAGAGGTGTTTTAGCAAACCCAAAGTTACATATCAGCCTACCTACCAAAGAGGAAAAACTGGAAATGTTCCTGAAAAGGACATTGAATAACAATAAGTAGATTTTATTTTGTATGTAGGTGTTTCTAACTCAATTCAGAATTGGTAGAGGTCAATGTATCTACCTAGACACTGTCCCCTTAAGCTCTTTTTATTCCTGTACATGTTAACCAATATGTGTATACTTGTCTAAGAGAGCTAGTGACTCACCAAAATAGTGCATAGTTTTGATACAGATGTCTAACTGTTTCATAGAACAGTTATATTCTTTGAAGGTTATATACAAATTAATTCAATTTGTAAACTACAAATTGTAAAATACAATTAAATGGACTGGTTTTCATAGAAGACTAGCAGTCTTCTAAACAGATAACCAACTCTCGATATGTCAGATTTTTATATTAATTTTTATATATTGTGCTCTCTTTAAACATCACAGCTATTTTCTGTCAGTGTGAGGGTCAATCAAAGGCAAGCAACATGCGTTTTCAACAGGGAGAGTTAGGATTCCACAGCAACATTCCACTCAGCGGCATTTGCCTGGAGCCCTCTTTCTTCTCAGTGGTTCAAGGTAACTTACGAGATTCCTTCATCAACTGCACACATATTTACTACCTATTACGGTCTAGACATGGAACTATTATTAGTGATATAATACATGCTCACATAAGCCTGGTCCTTTTATTCAGATGACTCCAGCCTTCGTGAGGTTGGGGAGGGTACTCTGGGAGGACCCAAGCAGTGGCAATGACCTAAACTAAAACGTATGGGCTGATGGAGCTGGGGTGAGTAGGGCTTGCCCTGAGAAACAAAGAGACATTATTCCAGCAGGACCAACAGCTGAGATGAGCCTGAGGGGGAAAGCGCTGTATGTTCGAGGAACCCAAAGAAGTATGGCAGGAGTTTAGACACGAAGGCAGAGGGCAACGGGATCTGAGGCTAGGTGTGTCCAGCTGGCATGCTGCTACAAAATTCCCAAGAAATGCATGTAGATTTAGGTGATCCTTAGAGAGCAAGGGTGGCCCTGAAGAGTTCTTGTCACAGGGCACTGACATGTGGGTTTAGAAAGGATCATTTAGAATGAAGATTGCAGAATCATAGTGGGTGGGAAACTGCAAAGCAGAAGGTTAGGAGACCTGTTAGGAAGCTATGGTGGTCATCACGGAAGTGGACAGGGATGAGGTACACACAGTCTGCTACCCCCTAATCCCAGTACCTCCTACCACCTGGTGCCCAGCCAGGCTTCACCCACCCCCTCAGTGCACGAAGGAGCCCTGTCATTAGACGCTTCCATGTGCCCATTCTCTAGACTCTGTGAGTGAGGCAGCAATGTGGCTCAGTCACGAAAAGGCAAACGCAGTAACAGCAACTGTGAAACTAAACCAGGTATGTTTTTACAACTTCTGTGAAAATAGACATACTTTTTCCTGGTAGGGAGATGAGTTTAAGACGAATAGCAGAGACTGGGTAAATAATTCAGCCCATGACCTTGATGCTTATTGATTCCTGCAGCTGTTTATCTTTCTCTAGGCTATCCAGAAAAAAAAACCTCCAAAAAACAATTATCACTTAATTATAAAATTGCTTGGCTTGGGAGAGCCTTCTGGTTGGTTGCTGAACACTCCAAGGGAATAAGTTAATCGCTATAAACCACCCTGCTGACTGAAGCTGCTGCTTAGCATTCTTAGCCACAGCTTCATTATTCTCTGGTATGGATTTAAAAGAAGAAGAAATAAAGAAAGAAACACCCACATTTTCTTCTCATTTTCAGATGCTTAGCATGTTTGGCCAATCAAATGGCAGATGGCTGGCTATTTCTTACCTATGGGATTTGAATCCTGATGGATTCTAGGCAGGGGGACCAGACATGGTGCACAGAGAACACTTGTTCCAGGGTGGCTGGGGAGGGGGAGTGTTGGGAAGAGGGTGGTGGTAATAGTTGTTATGGGTGTTGCTATAGTAATATTACTTCATGTTGGACTGCAAAAAGGAAAAAGGAAAGAATGAGATTCTTTTTTAATACAAATAATTTTCTCTTCAACTTCATTGTGGGTGAAATGTAGGGCCCTAAAGCCCCGGTTCTCACCAGCCATTTCCTGGTGGGTGGAAGCTTCTCACCACCAGTGTCAACAGACACTCTGAGCAGGAGGCTTGATCAGGCCAGTGAGGTAGGTGAGAAGTCAACCAGCTAGAATTTTGGAATTGGAGCTAATAAACTCTTCACCCAGCTTGCCCTGTTCTTTTGTATTTATTAACTTATCTCAGTAAACAGTAAAAATGCTTGGTTCACGAGCAAGTCCTATTAAAATTGGGCAAAGGACTTGAATAGACATTTCTCCAAAGAAGATATACAAATGGCCAAAAATCACATGAAAAGATGCTCAACATCACTAGTCATTAAGGAGATGCAATTCAAAGCCATAGTGAGGCACATCTCACACCTGTTAGAACAGCTACTGTAAACAAAGGAAAATCAGGAAATAGCAAGTGTTGATGAGGAAGTGGGAAATCGGAACTTTTGTGCAATCTTGGTGGGAGTATAAAGTGGTATAGCCACTATGAAAAACAGTATGAAGGTTCCTCAAAATATTACAAATAAAATTACCATGTTACCATCCATCAATTCCAATTCTAGGAAATAATTAATGACAGGGTCTCAAAGAGATATCTGTACGCTCATGTTCAAAGCAGCTCTATTCACAACAGCCAAAAGGTGGAAGCAACCCAGGTGCCCACTGATAGATACTTCTTATCTATGTCTATGTCCATGTCAATGTCTATGTCTACATCTACATCTACATCTATATCTACATCTATCTACCGTATATCTATATCTATATCTATATTTATATCTATATCTATCTATAATGGAATACTATCATGAAAGGCCACAATTATGGAACTAGGCCACTCTCCTCCCCTGTGATTGTGGAGACCGAGGTCCAGATGTGGAACTTCAATCCACATCCTATGACTTCAAATCCAGAGCACAGGCTCTGCTTGCAAGCTTCTGTCTTCCCTCATGATTGTTTCCCACATGCAGAACACCCTCATTTCTCTTCTGAGTATCCACATTCTACCCGTCCTTCAGACCCCATTCAAATCCTTTCTTCACTCCTCATCTCCCTGGCCTCCCCTTTCTCTGAGCCTCTCTACAATATTTCAACAGCCCTCTGATCATCCCCCCTCTTAGCCCTTAATTCCCTACACCCTCACCCCTCAGCAAGTTCTTTGCCTTTCCTGCAGGTCTTCACTGCAGCAGGCACTCTCTAACCTCTGGGGCCAGGCCCCGATGCTTTCTCCGCCTGGGATGCTCTTCTGCCCTGTGGCCCCTACAGGGTAAAATGGGAGTTGGTAGGAAGAGTGACCAAGATCCAAGTGGGGTCAGAGTAGGGTTTCTGCTTCGCCATTAGAAAGGAGCCATGAGAGATTCATGAGAGACCCACATCTGGGGACTGAGCTGGGAACCACACAAGCAAGAGGATAAATGCTCACACCTCAGAGCCAGAGCGGACATCCACGCTCCCTCCTCCGGAGTATCCTGGTATGTGGTCCCTGCTCCAGCCCTGCTTAGCCCCTCTCAGCTGCCTGCGAGTTGCATGCCCACTAGATGGCAACCTCATGTCAGCTGGGATGAAGGAGGGGCAGTGTCTGCGGTGGTGAGCAAGTGGAGATGACTGAGTGCTCACTATGCATCTGGCACCATCAGCAGCCTCCTCACACCTTGTTCGCCTGGTCTGCATAATCACCGTGAAATGCACATTCTATCCCTATTTTACAAATTTGAAAACTGAGACTCGGAGAGAAGTAATGTGCTGACGCTCACACAGCTGGCTGTCCTGGCTCTCAGGCAATGCTCACTCCACCACAGTGGCATCTGAGAGAGTGTGTAGAAATAGAGAAGCAAAGCCCTGGAGAGAGAGGGTGGTGAGGAACCAGAAGGCATGGAGAACACAGAAAACAGCGGTTATTCAGCCATGACCTCTTGAGGTTAGATTAGAGCATGGAGCTTGTCTCCAGAAGACAAAAGGCAACTAGGAACAATCTGAGGGATTATATTCATCCCTGGTGAGGGAAGCCTAACCTTGAGGAAGGATCTGGAACAAAGAAAGGGAGAGAAGGTGAGGGTAAAGCATGTCAAGGGTCTTTGAGTTTCTAACTCCTTCAGATGGCCCTTGACCCTTCCTTAATGTCAAACAAAACCCAAAGTCTCTATCCGTCTGGTAGGCTTGCTGAGGAAGAAGCAAGCTCTTTGGAATAAGGCTGAAATTTCGCAAGAGTGGCATTTAAACCATCGATCATGGTTTATTGGGGCAAGAGAGAGAGAGGAAAGAGAAGAGCGAAGCCCTTCGCCCGGGCACACTGGCGTGTCTGAGGGGCAGCGAGAAAGCCGGTGTGGCCGGAGCCGAGGGAACAAGAGGGAGGGGGATGGGCCAGGGGTCAGGTCATGTACAGCTCTGCGGTCCCTTAAAGGGAGCATGGCTTCCTCTCAGAATGAATGGCAGTCATCAGGGAGTTCTGAGTTAAGGAGTGACACGGTATAAGTGATGTTTAAAAGGGTCACTCTAGTCACCCCGAGTCTGAGAATAGATGGACGAATGACGAGGGCAGCGAGCAAGGAGACACATTAGAGGGCAATAAACACCCCCTTCTTGCTTCAGCCAATATTTTAGAGACTTTGTCCTCAGAGAAGGCACCAGGTAGTTAAAATAAGGACTTGGCATAGGATGGGGGGGGAGGGTGAGCTGAGTGGGCAGAGGGAGGGAAGGCATACAAGAGGCAGGGCTGAGAGATCGTGAGCTCAGGGCTGGATTGGACAGGGCAGGAGGGGAGCATAAGGAGCCCACAGCTGTCACCTGTCCATTGGCAGGAAGGGCACGGGCTGCCTCACCCGCACAGAAGCTGTGGCAGGGGCACCAGTGGAGTTGAGGCCCGGCCCAGGACGAGCAGCCAAGATGGCCTGGCACTGCGCTGAGGACTGCCACAGCCTGGTCCTCTGGGCTGCTCCCAGGCTGTTAGGGGAGTGGAAGTCCATGCAGAATTTGTAAAGACTTCCAGACAATGCCCTGCTCCCAGCTTGCCTTGGCTGTGCGGGCAGGCTGGGGCCAGTTCTCAATAGTCAGGACCCAGTGACTCTCTCCTGCAACCGGAAGCCAGCTGCTTCCTCCGTCACCCTCCATCCCTCCAACCCTCCCCTTTCTTTCTTTTCCCCAGGGAGACTGAGCTCAAATGTGCATTGGAAGGGGGCCTGGGTTGTTTGAGGGAGTTGGGGGGGAGATAGAGATGCATGTAAATTCCAGCTGTAAATACCAAGCCACAGCTGGTTCTGTAGCTAAGAGCACCTCCACCCAGGTCAGGAGGCTCCTCCTACACAAAGAAGTCAGAAATTGATCTTGCTTTTAGCATTTACCAGGCATCCTCTGAGGGAGCCACTTCATCACCCACAGGGTTCTTCTCTGCAAAAAGCATGACCTTGCTCTGGCTCCTCCCTCCCATCCTGCGCATGCTTGGCTGCTGCTCCCAGCTCCTGCTGTGTCTCCTGCTTCTAGCTTTGAATTTGCAAATTGTATTCTATCTCATTTGAGCCTTTCTCGCATCTGGACCCCAGGTCCTGCTGCAGTGTTCGGCATACAGTGGTTGCTCAATAAATAGCTGTTGCATGTTGTTGGGTGAATGAGGTATTGCTCCTGACAGCTGGCTACCTGGTTCTTTGTCACCACCTCATATCTGCAACTTGTCCTTCTCAGAAGAAGCCAAACCTTAGTCCAGGAAGGAAGGTTACAGATAATCTGTCTTACCAACCTTTTCAATGTCCCTGGGAGAGAAAACTTGACCATGGCCTCTACTCTCGACACCCCTTTCTCTTTCATCAGATAGAATGCATGCCACAGCCCTGCATTCCAGAACACAGGGCCAGCCAAGGCTCGCCAGGCTGCCAGGCTGCCAGGGAGAGGGTGGGACTTACAGTCTCTGTTCTGCCAACAGCTTTACCTGTGTGATCAGAGACAGGTCATTCACATTTTGAGACCTCAGTTTTCTCATCTGTAAAATGAGAATACTGGATGGATGATGTGCAGGCCCGCTTCACTGAGGATATTTCACGATTGGAAGTAGAGTAAGTCCCAAGGCAATGACCCAGAGCCAATGGGAGGCAGGCTGGGGAGCTGGGGAGCACAGAGTCCTGAGGTCGGGGACACGTGGCCCCAGTCTCAGCCCTGCCACTGTGTGACTTGTGATGCTTGTGATCTTTCGTTTTTCCCTTTGTAAAATGGGACTCATAATAGCACCACCCTCACTGGGTTGTAATAGAATGAAATTAGTGAATGTATCTTAATGTGGCGAGGTATCCAACTGTAGTGGAGCCTCAACACATTAGCACGCCTGGTGGCCGCAGCAGCAGTGTGGAGCAGCACTCTCCAACAGAAGTTTCGGTGATGATGCAGATGTTCCACATCTGGCCTAACACCGTGCCCACCCCCCACACATGGCTACGGGGCAATTTAAATATAGCCGAAGTGGCTGAAGATCTAAATTTTTAATTTTGCTTAATTTTAATTATTTAACATTTAAATAGCCACACTATTTATGTAACTAACGGCTCATGCACCAGACAGAGCAGGTCTAGACATTATAGAACTATCAGAATTTTAAAAAGAGCAGGAAGGTACGGCACAGCCAGCCAATGTTGTTCAGCACTAAAAAGAAATAGCCCATCCAGTCATCAAAAGACATAGAGGAGCCTTAAATGTGTATTACTAAGTGAAAGAAGCCAATTTGAAAAGGCTACATACTGTACGATTCCAACCATAGGACATTCTGGAAAAGGCAAGACTCTGGAGCCAGTAAAAGGATCAGTGGTTTCAGAGGGTGGGGGTAGGGGATGAATAGGTGCAGCACAGAGGATTTTTAGGGCAGTGAAACTACTGTGTATGATACTATGATGGTCCATACGTCATTATATGTTTGTCCAACAACATGAACAATACTCAGAGCGAGTGCTAATGTGTAAACTATGGATTTGGGTGATAATGTGTCCTTGTAGGTTCATCAATGGTAACAGATGTCCCACTCTGCTGGGGATGTCAATGGGCGGGGGGGAGGGGGGGGCGTGCGGGACTGTGAGTGTGCGGAGCAGGAGGATATGGGCAATCTCTGTACTTTCTGCTCAATTGCTCTGTGAACTTAAAACTGCTCTAACATATAAAGTCAATTTTTAAAAGAGCACCAAGATGTATGCCTAAAAGAAGTGGGATTTGAAGTTAATTCTCAAGAATGGGTGGCGCATGGATAGCAGGGCTGTGTTTGCAATGCCCAGCATTGGGGTAGAGCAGAGGGTTATGGGAGAGATGTGGAGACGGCTTGCAAAACACCAGAAGGAGACTGTGGATTCCAGATTAAAGACCCTCAACTCTAGTCAGCATTAATTAAGTTTCTGAAGTTTTTCACTTTTTTGGGAGATACCCAAAAAGCGTTCTACAAATATTAATGTCCTAAATAAGCGGCTATTTGGGACTTTAAGTTTTTTGAAGGTCAGGTCCAAGTCTTGAAGTTAAATCATGTGAGAATTGACATCACAAGCTGTAAAGTGCTTAAAACAATTTAAATCAAATAAATAGATAGCTTAGCTCGGGATCCTGTGGCTTTACAAGACTCTTCCATTACCAGTGGGATATGTCCCATATTGCCTGGAAAATTACAGGCTTTTAGGGACTCCTGCTTGACGGATTTGTCTAGATGTGTCTGAAAGGAAGTGCACAACGTGGACCCCATCAGCACTGGGGACTCAGCACTCAGAATGCTTAAGTATCAAGAGAAGATTTTCATTTGTGCTCTCCTACCGTGCACTATCTTCAAAGGTCCCAGATTTATTATTTCATCAACAGACCGGAGAGGGGAGTTTGTATGAGATCAAACAAACACGAGGACTATGGAAGGCCGGCAGGTGACAGTGTATAAATTGCCCGATGGAAAATGTCAGAAGTTGACATCAGAGCAGTGGGAGGGTGGGGAGCATATAGAACTGAGAACAAACGAGCGTGGCTTTCTGGGACCCAATTCCTCACACAGTCCAGCTAATGCACTGCAAGAAACTCGGGGCTCAGAGACCCACTGAGAATCCACTGAAACCCATTAATTCAAAATATATCCTGTATTTAAAAAAAACACAACTTGAAAAGCATCTCCTCTCTCTCTCTTTAATCTCTCTCTCTCTCTCTCTCTCTCTCTCTCTCTCTCTCTCTCTCTCTCTCTCTCTCTCTCTCTCTCTCTCTCTCTCTCTCCACACACACACACACACACACACCCTGTATGTTCTATATCTGCCCTGTATATATCCCTTTGTTTTCTTACATCTTATCCTTTACATCTTCTTGACCAATCTTTCAAGGGTAGTGTCTGGATAGTAAAGGCCTCTTCCAAGGTAGAACATCATATTCCCATTGTCATTGCTGGAGCCTTGACTCAGATACAAGAAACAGAGTTAACGTCTCTGCCTACCAACCTCTGTGTTTGTGAGTACAGTGGGGCCTTGACTTACGAGTTTAATTCGTTCCGAGAACAAGCTAGTTAAGGAGCTCATTAACTCAAATTACTCTATCAACTCAATGCAAAAAATCGGCGGAGAGACAGCTGGTATCTCAAAAAACTCGTTAGTTGGGACACTCGTAAGTCAAGGCCCCACTGTAGAAACTTTGTCCCGAATCAGTCTCTGTATATCTGAATGAGCGAGTAACAAGCAGTTATGGGGCATTTTGTTTGGACATGAAAGAGAGTGTGTGCTTTCTGCACATCGGTTCACTCCCTCCCCTCATACCCACCCAGTCTCTGCTCAAAGACCGTCTTTCTTGGCCACCCTAGCTAAATAAACATCAACCCCCCGGGCAACTATCTGTCCCCTTGCCCTGCTTTTATTGCACAGCACGTTTTATCACTTGGCACCAGAATAAATATTTATTTCTTTGTAGATAGCCCATCTCCTCTGCTAAGATGCAAATTCCATGCCATTTTTAATACTAAACAGCACCATGAGGAAGGTGCTACTAAGAACTGCGTTCTCAGATGGCGACACCGAGAGATTACAGAGCTGTGGGACTTCACCAAGGTCGTGCAAGCACCAGTCACAGAGCAAAACCCAAGTCCGCCCTTACTCCAGAGCCCCTGCTTTCAGCTACAGCAGAAGGATGTGGATGGGAAGACTAGATGTTTATATCCAATGGAGTCTAGCTTAGATGTGGCTTCAACAAAATGGCCTGAAAATGGGCTTGTCCCCAAATGACCTTCTCTAGCGAGTACCAACCACCTCTAAACTCCTAGGAAACCACAGACTATCAGAATTTCTCTAAATGCAAGTTCTTCGAGGACGGGAGTGATGTTATTTATAGCCGCACTATGTACGATGGCTGATGTAGCGTGAAGCTTAACCAGCAATTTGGTTATTTTTATCCCCATGTGTCTCTAAGGTTCCTGGCCTCCCCAAGAACATGTTGCTGATATGCTACCAGAGTCCAATAAATGTCACTGTACTTTATTTCTCAAAATCAGACTTAATTTGCTATAAGCTCCCAGCTATGAGTCTCGGTAATTTGTGGCATTCTCCCTTTTACCCTCCATGGAATTTAATGGTGGTCGCAATCTCTATTTTTCCTATAGCTTCAGCCATCTGTGGGCATCACTGCCCAGCACTGGCCCTTGTCCTTCTCTCATCCGCCATCCGTCTCTCGAGCATTCTGCGTTAGGTAGGCTTAAATACGTTCATTTCTGCAGCCTGCCTTGCAGAATACAGGTCTCACACTCGGGTTGAGCTGAAGAACGGGCCTGTCCTCTTGCCTCTCTCTGGAAAAGCTCCAACTCTAGCTCTGAATGTATAGCTCCCACCTCTACAATGCAAGCCTATGCCTTCCTCTCTAGGGAAAAGCCCATCTCCCTCCACAGAACTTCCTAAGACTCACCCTCCCCTTTCTTTCCTAGGGCTGGGGGGCTGGGAGGGAACGGAGCTACTAAATTCAGTTATCTTGCTATAACCACTCAACCCATTACCAATGGGTTACATATCAGACTTGTGTGTGTATTATTACAAAGTCTTCATTAATTTCCTCCACAGCTTGACCATGTGGACTGCCAAGATGGTAGCCTAGTTGGCTGACAAATACATCTGCTGGAGCCTAGAAAGAAGAAAGCTTTTTCCTTCTCCAGATGACATCAGGCACGTGATTTCTCCCCGGAATCACACAGGCCATGCCCCCCTCCCCCAATTCCACCCCATGGCTGGCAGCGCTCTGATGACCTTCCGCAAAAGCAGAGCCCTTTGGGAAGAGGCCAAGGGGTAGGGCTCCTGTGCTGCGTCCCTAGGTCAGCACTAGCTAAGCAGGGACTCAGAAGTTATTAACAGCTGAGCAGAACTCTAAACCTTCTGTTCCTAACACTTCTCTAACACCTTTCAGCATCCACACTCGTTATCCAAAGTCATTTGCAGCTGTGAGGAAACGGGGGTGAGCAGGGTAAATAAATAAACAAAGAGTTTCTACATGGAATGCTCAGCTCAGCACAGCTTGAAGTTTTACCACCCCCCATCTTGGAGTAAGGCAACCTACACAGGGCAGGTTTCTTTGTCTTTCCAGCTCTCCTGCAGGAGAAGGTACTGCTAACGTCAGTCAGGTAGCAGATCCCAGTATGGAGCGCTTATTGCATGGAAAGAGCCATCTTCGTGATGCCGAGGACACAAATAGCTGATAAAGATAAAGACCATTTGGGATGGCCCTCACCCAATGGCAATGATTCTTAAACATTCTGAACATATAAGGTGCCCTGTGGATAAGGAACAATAACTATGAATCAGCAGGGGACTCCAAATCCACCAAAGGCAGGAGAAACTCCCTTTGCTTTGACCCCGACATCTGCTGTGTTTCCCAACTTCACTGCCTCTGGCTTCTAAGCATTTGAATGGTGGAAGAGATTGAACATGGAGGCTCAATCACTTAATACTTCACAGAGGCATAATAAAAACTAACTGACTCCCCTCCACCCCTCCACCACACACACACACACACACCCCAAAAAATGGTTTACTAGTTTCTGAAGATCTGGCTGAGAGGGTTTCTGATAGATTTTAAGGTTTGAATATTATCTAAGTTAGAGTGTCAGAAAGAGAAGGTAAATGATTGAGCTGAACCACCAATGATTAATGGATACAGCTAGCCAGCTATCTGACAAACATTTATTGAGTATTTCTTCCATCTCCACAATGTCAGCCATTGTGCTAGTCACTGAGGATGAAATGATGACAAAGACATATTTCCTGCCCTTGAGATACTCATGGGCTAGTGAAGGAGACAGAGAAATAACCAGGTATCTTGCACATGGTATGACATACAATATCATCATGGCCGGCATGGGATAGTGTGGGAAGCAATGGGAGTGGACAGTGGAGGAAGGAGTTAAGCAGGATTTCTAGAAAGAAGGGATCCTTGGGATAAGTCTTCAAGGACAAGAAGAAGTTAGCCAGCTGGATAAAAATGGGAAGGATATTTCAGGCAAAATGTACAGCAGGTGCAAGCGTTTATAGAGGAATGAGAATACCAATAGCATTTGGAGAATTTCCACCAGTTCTGTGTGATTGAAATCTAAGCTCAGTGTGGGAGTGTCAAAGAATAGGTCTAACTCAGATTAAGAAAAGTCTTGTGAGTCATGCCAAGGAATTTAAAAATCTATCCTGAGGTTTGAGAAGGAGCCTTTGGAGCATTGTAAGAGGAGAGGAATGGCAGATTTTTTAATATGGCAACACCAGTTGCACACAAATATAGAGGGTAGAGACAGGTAAATGAGTAGAGTGAAGACAAAAGACAGGGAGACGTATGTAGGGATCATTAGAGAATTTCAGGTGAGAATAAATAGGCTCCTAAGTAGAAAAAATAGCAATACGTTTTGAAAATAAACATTTAGAGGTGTTTTCATTTCAAAGCATTTTGATTCTCATGAGTGGTCTCCTCAATTGAGAATGAACGACACAGCACACCACTAATAATACTAATTTTATCACAACGACAGCATCACTGCAAACATTAAAATAGTGAGCTGACTTAGAAACCTAACTAATGCACACAATATTTTTATGACATTTCTAATATCAGGAGGAAGGGGTATTCCTTTGCTTTTTCCTACACAGTCTCCGACTTCAGTTCTGTTCTCATTGAAATAGGAGCTGGTAGGGAAAGGTACTCAAATCCAGTGAATCTGAGTCTGGCGAATTTATTCATACTGAGATATGAATCAGCTTAACGTATTATTCCTCCTATCGTCTTCCTCTTCTACTTCCTACCCTTCCCTCAGCAAACCAAGATTTAACTTAAGGTAAAGGATAGACTCACCAATCATGGAATCTGTTGAGGCTGAAGAGAAGAAGAGGTAAGGGAAAGGAAGTCTTAAAGTCACATTCAAGGTCAAACTGGACCACAGAAGGCATTACTGTAGGCCTCTCCAAGCTTTGCCATGTGCCCTCAGCCAGGGAATGTGGACTAGACTCCTTTCCTGCGGGAATCTGGTGTCACTAAGAGACTCCAGGCCTTGAAGTCAGGCAGCTCAGGACCTGGATCCAGCCTGGTTTCTCCTTGTCAAATGAAGGGAGGGAGTCCTGCCTGCAGGGACAACAACTTGGGATAACATGTGTGAGGTGCCAGCACAGAGTCTAGCTCAGGGTTTCTCAACCAGGGTGATTTTTGTCCCCGCAAGACATTTGCCGATGTCTGGAGATATTTTTGGTTATCACAACCTGTGTCGGGAAGGTGCTACTGGCTTCTAGTCCATAGAGACCAGAGATGCTGCTAAACAGTCTAAAAGGCACAGGACGGCTCCACAATAAAGAATTATTGGGTTTAAATGTCGATAGTGTCAGGGTTAAAAAACCCTTGTCTAGCTCAATAAATGTTCCTTTGAGCTCCTCTCTCTCAGGATCCCCCCACCCAGTGCAGATGAAGAGGAATCCTCCAGGCAGAGAGATCCATCCTGGGATACAGCCTTGGTGCTGACGGGAGAGGGATTAACCCCGATGATTCTCTCAGCTGCTTCCCCATCGTGATTAGAATGACCAATTTGTGAGAAGTTGGCTCATGCAGGCTCCCAGGCTGTTTATTTTCCTGTTTATTATATTTTTGAGTGAATTTTAATTTTCCCCAAATTAAGCAAGAAACCCTGACATCTGGTTGGCTCACCCCTTCCCCCCATTGTGCTTTTTTTTTTTATCTGCCCCAGCCATTTCCTTTCCTCCCTCCAAGCCCAAAGATGACTGTTTACTGACCACAGAGCAGGTGTGTGTTCTCAGCCAGGATTCCCAGGGACCTTTAAGGGGTTGTTTTTTCACATGCATAAACCAGTTGTGCAAAGGGCTGCTCTGAGTAGGAGCCTGCATTGCAGATGGGGTCTGAGCCCCTCCCAGGCCCTCCTCCCTCGCTGTGTACACAGTGGTTCCTGGAGACTCCGCACTGTTTGAGCAGCATCCCCTCCCCCAGGGGATGCTCCTTCCAGACCAAATACCTGCAAACCTGTGAGAGAGAACAAAGGAAACAGCGGCTCCTCTTCCCATGATTCTTTCTCCATATATATGTATGCATGTGTGTATATGAACACAGCACATGGGACCCGGACACTCAGAGAGATGCATGCACATACAAAAGTGAAGAGAAAGGTGTCTGAGCAGGATGCTTAGAAAAATGCCAGAGCTGAGGAAGCCTGGCTTCTGCCTGTGGGCTTTCAAGGGCTGATGTTTTGCTGATTCTGCCTGTACGACTTGACATGGGGAACTCAAGGAGCTGATTTCACTCCCCTCTAGGGCCCTGGTCCCCACTGATGCTCCTGTCAGCTCTCCTCTGTGCTGTTAGAGCTCATCATCCAACCATTCATAATCTATCCCTCGGAATCAAGCAAATGCGGTGATGGACGCTGGCCAGAGGCCCTAATTATTACCAGATCGAGATTTTCCAGTTACTTAGCAAATCCTCACCCTGTACATCTAAGCTTAGACAACTATCTTGGGAAAGAGAGGTTACGTGTGGAGAAGGCTTGGGGCTGCGAGGAAGCAGGTGTGAGGAAAAGGACTGGGACACTGAGCTCAGGAATCCGTGATGTTGACACCTGATCAGAGTCGGTGTCAGAACTCAGCAGTCACAGCCCAAGGCTCCGGCTCTGCACCGAGACCAACACAGAATGAGCTTGTTTCATTCCTTCTTACTCCTGGCAATCTGGTAGAAATGGCACCTGCTTACTCCGATTCCAAGCCCAACAAAATACAGCTTTCATCGCTTTCTAGTGTTCATGCACAGTCCATGCAAAGCCCCCAAAATCGATGGCCATCGATTCCTACGCTAGAAATTCATAAACTTCTTTAAGGTCAGGGATTGATTTTTTACTTTCAGTAAGAAAATGTGAGACTCCAGACCTTTCCCTCCCTTTCTGCCACCTTTCTCATCTACAGGGACACATGCTCTTGTACACATGCTCTCCCTCGCCGGTGTGCATCCTGCCCTCCCTGCCTCAGTACCTCCAGGAGGGAGAAGCACTTAGGTGCCAGGAGAGAGAGAGACACTTAAACACTCCTTCTGCTAAGGAGCCTCCTCGCCCTGACCTAATCCCCGGCATTAATCTAATAATGGAACAAATAGATTTGAAGGATGACAGCACAGGAATGAGCACGGTGGTTGGGACAGACTCCTTAGCATTTGCCAAATCCAAGCTGGGAGCAAGGGATTGGACTTCAGAGTTCACGCCAGGATCAGATCAGCGCTCTGTTCCCACCTCGATTCTGCCCATGGCCCAAGTGCTGGGTGGACGGGCACTTAAGCTTGCGTCCAAAGGTGGGCACCAGTTGTGTTACCAGGGGTGCCTCCTCATGGTCTGGACCTCAGTTTACCCACATATGAAGAAAAAAATTGAGACTATATCTACCCCCTAGATGGCTATGGAGACCAAATAGATGCAAAAGCACAGTTTAGACCAGTGATGGTGAACCTATGACACGCTTGTCAGAGGTGACACGCGAACTCATTTTTTTGGTTGATTTTTCTTTGTTAAATGGCATTTAAATATATAAAATAAATATCAAAAATATAAGTCTTTGTTTTACTATGGTTGAAAATATCAAAAAAATTCTATATGTGACACGGCACCAGAGTTAAGTTAGGGTTTTTCAAAATACTGACATGCAGAGCTCAAAAGGTTCACCATCACTGGTTTAGACTGAAAGTGTCAGGTGAGAATAAGATGGCGATTACTACAGGGCTCTAGGTCTTTCTTACTTATGTTTTTTTTTAAAATATATTTGTATTGATTTCAGAGAGGAAAGTGTCACGTGAGAATAAGATGGCGATTACTACAGGGTTCTAGGTCTTCCTTACTTACGTTTTTTTTTTAATATATTTGTATTGATTTCAGAGAGGAAGGGACAGGGAGAGAGAGATAGAAACATCAATGATGAGAGAGAATCACTGATTGGCTGCCTCCTGCACACCTCCTACTGGGGATAGAGCCTGCAACCTGGGCATGTGCTCTGAACGGGAATTGAACCGTGACCTCCTGGTTCATAGGTCGAGGCTCAACCACTGAGCCATGCTGGCTGGGCTTCCTCACTCATGTTTAGAATCAAAAAGTTTCAAAGAAATTCATGAATGATATGACTGATGGGGTCATCATGGATCTCTTCTTTCTGTTTTCTAAATTTTACTTTATTGTGGTAAGAACACTTCACATGAGATCTGCCCTCTTATGAGATTTTTCAATGCATGACACAGTATTGAACCTCTAGGCACAATGTTGTACAGCATGTCATTAAAAGTGTATTCATCCTGCATAACTGAAATTTTACTCCCCCTTCCTCCCTTCTAGCCCCTGGCAGCCCCCCTTCTATCCCCTGCTTCTGTGAGTTTGGACTCTACCTCATGCAAGTGGAATCACAGAACTACCATAGGATCCAACAATCTCCCCTCTGGATATTTATCCCCCCAAAATTGAAATCGGGTTCTCAAAGAGATATCTGCACTCCTGTGTCCACTGTAGCATAAGTCCCAGTAACCCAGATACAGACACAATCTAAATGCAACTGATGAAGAAAATGTCTATATACTGGTATATAGTCAAATATTACTCCGCCTGGAAAAGGAAAGCCAGCCATAGCCAACAGCATGGGCGCACCTGGAAGGCATTATGCTGAGTGAAAATAAGTCAATCACAGAAGGAAAATTTCTTTTCTTCAGATTGGACCATTTTTGAGGCTGCCAGGCATGAACTCTCAAGTCCAGCAGCACTGGAGTTGCACCAGCCTTACCACTTGTTAGCTGTTACCTGGGTGCCTAACCTCTCTGAGACTGCAGCCTCATCATTCCCAAGATGATGCAGTGAGCTGTGGAGAGGATCAGCAAGCAGCCTGTGAGTGGCAGGCACTGAGCCACAGGAGGCTGGTCCAGGTATCACTGCCCTCACTCTGATGACCCCCTCGCTGCCAGCTGCAGGGCTT